AGTGCCCTTCGAGACACAAAGCGTCTCCCACCTGGGCAGATGTGTATGTTTTCGCTGCAGCTTCTAAATATTGTGAGCTGGTAAGCAGTCGGCGTACAGTACAGAATCTTGGAAGAGCAAGGCTTTTTTTCTTTGTAATATGCTATTATCCACACTTCACCATTACTTCCTTTAAAAATCAAAAGTTGTCTGTAGGGAAAGAGCCATAGCCCTTCTGAAAGAGGACAGGTTGTCATGGCCTTGGTGGGTTCTTGGTGTAGTGTTACAGGATCCTTTCTCCTGGACCACCTCTTCAGCCAGTGGACTTCGGTCCATAAAAACTTGACCAGTATAATGTTTATTGGAATGACCAGCCCTCAGCCTCTTAGTGATTTATTCTTGATTTCTTTTAGTACAAACTAAGGAATACTCATGTTCACTCATTTATTCTGTACCCGAGGACACCGTGTTCTGTTAACTGTTTCTGAGACTGTGGTTCAGACCTCCCTGGCTGCCAGTTGGAGCTGGTCATAGTGCTGATTATGTAGCGTAGCTTCTGGTGTTGAGTGCTGTCACTTGGCCTCCCTTCTTTCAGGACTGTTTTTGTTTTTTTGTTTTAGTATTAAGGGCCTTCCTTACTTAAAATTACAAAACTGAGTATATGGATATATATATCTCCTTTTATTTCCACTCCACCTTTTTTGCTGAATTTTATTAATATACTGTCTGCCCTTCTGAACCCTGTCCTTATTTCCTTATGAAAGGCAGCACGCATCACTCCCTAGTCACTCAATCCAGGCCGCCTCCTCCTCTTCCTCCTTGACCCCCCCACCTATACTGAGGAACTATTAAAAGACATCTCTTTATATTTCCCTAGAATTAATCTCTTCATTAGAGTTCTCTTGCAGTTCCATTTCTTCGTAAGTATGGCGTACGAGATTTTAACTGCTCCATTCCAGTTTTTTCTTCTTCAGTAAGTGGTAACAGCTCCACATCTGCTTGCTCTTGTAGTTCTTCTATCATGGTCGTAATCTTCTTCAAAGTAGTACAAATGCGGCTCTTAGTCTCCTGTTCAGTAGCAACAGGTTTAAAACATGCATATAAAGTTTGGTTTCGAGACCTTATTGCTGACAATGCCTTCAAGAACGTTACTGAATTTTTCTCTCCGGCTGAATCATGATGATTAGATGTGATTTCATATTCCAGCCTGTACTGAATAAAATCCAGATCAGAGTCACCTTTCTGGAACATCAGTTCCAGCTCATCGACCTCTGCCTCCATGTTGAGTAGTTGACATTCCTCCAGGCCTCTCTTGTTTTCCTTGCTTGTGACAAGCTTTGCTCTCTGGCGCTTGTCCTGAGGCCAGCCTTGACCAGCAGAGGAGGCCACCCCTGATCTTAGTAATGGGAGCTCTCCCCTGCTTGCATACTTCTTTGGGTTTCCTCTGGGGATTATCTGGTGTATTTTCTGTTGTAGAGGCCATAGCCACTACAGCATGCCTCCTTCTTTCAATCCCATCCTTCGCCATCTGCCCTGGGCAGTCCTGGAGCTTTGGCATCACTCAGTTGGTCTATTGGTTTTTCATATTTTTGGGAACCATCCTAGGAGGGCGTTCCTAGCATCTCCTGGTTTCTTTGCTTCTTGGGTGTTCCCAGGCCCGTAAACTCCTCCCTCACCAGTGCGTGTTTTGGCTCCTGGTTGAAGCATTCTCAGTACCTGCCCCTCTGCAGACTCTTCTGGTGGCTAGCACATGCTGGTTACTACTTAAAGCTCCTTTAGAATAGAAACCTTTTTTTTTTTTGTATTTAGTGCAGGGTCTGCAGGGTGTTCAGGGTCTCATACTAGATCGGACTCTGTAGTGATTCCCCTGTTTGCAGCCTCCCAAGTGCTGGGATTACAGGCGCGCACCACCGTGCCCAGTCTCAGTTGCTGTCTCAGCATGCCCCGGCTTGGGGCTGGCCCTACAGGCTGGTGATTGAGCCTCCGACCCTGCCTCTGCCTAAGCAGGCACTTTAATCCGCTGAGCTATTTGACTGGCCAAATTTTTTAATTAGATAGATAGATAGATAGATAGGTAGATAGATATCTATATATTTTTGAAAACTCTTTCTCACACCTGTCCCTTGGGTTACACTGATAGAAACTTTGGCCTGGAGGCAAACTGGGTGTGTGTGTGTGTGTGTGTGTGTGTGTGGGTGTGTGGGTGGTGGTGCTGCCCGTGCAGGGTCTTCCGTTGTGCTCCATCACAGGTGAGCAGTTGCTCCTACCCAGCAGACAGGCACCGTCTGTGCAGGGTCAGAAGGTGCACTGAAATCTGACGGGCTAAGACCTACATGCCCAGCCCAGGTTCTGGGCCGGCACTCCCGCCTCCCTTTTTTGCTGTAGTTGTCTCTGGAGTGTGCCTGCTTTCGCGGTCAGCCCTGGGCTTGGTCCTAGCTTTCTCTGATCTCTCGCTGTGGGTAGTGAGAGGTTCTCTGTCTCCAGGAAGCTTGTCGGCTTTCCCATCTGGCTTGCAGTTGTCTTTTCTCCTTCTCTGCTGTTAGATTTCTGCAGGGCACCTATTCTCCAAGTCTTCCAGTTAGTAGTGTCAGCTTAATCCAGAACACATCAGACATACAGACACCCAGCCTACTGCAGCGGCTCAGTCAGAAACTGGAGTAGGGAGCAGGCAGTTTGGAATTTAGCAGGCCTTCCAGGTAGTTTCTGGGCAGACCCAGAATCGAGGACCAGTGTGGAGCTTCTGAGGTACTTACAGTGGCCCTTCATTCCTTTTTTAAAATTTTTTATTTTTTAATGGATTGCAAAATGAAAATCTTCATTCCTAAAGATGATTGTTTTCTTGTCCTTCCAGCTCCTCTTTCCTCTGTAGCCTCAAAAGCCAGGGATGGCCACTGGTGCACCTTCCCACTTCACAGCCTCTGAAAGCTTTATCTGGCCTGCCATCCAGTGCCGGGGCTGTGTGTGCTCTGCCGACTGGTGAGGGGTTAGTGAGAGACTCAGCTCCAAAATGCCCTGGTAGTTCCTGCTTTCTTGGACCGCTCCTGCTACCAGGTGCCGCGTATAGGGTCCTCTAGAAGCATATGTAAGGTGCACGGCATCAGTTAGAAAGATGGGCCCTGTGGAAGGAGGAAGGTGTGCCGGGAGTGGTTGGAAAGATGAGCTGGACCGTGAGTCCAGCCCAGCAGAGTCGACCTGGGTGACTTGTGGAACGAGTGCGCCTGAAGATGGGTTTACGTGACGAGGCCTTCGTACCTCGCCCGGCTCAGTACCTAGTGTGGCCATTCCTGACAGGAAGGATTGGGGGCTGCGTGACAGCTGCAGCCACAGCCACTCTGTGTCCTCACTTTCCACAGCTGGGCAGTGAGGCCTTGCTGGAAGGTTGGGTGGCTGGCCTCTGTGTCACAGCATACCCCGTGGTTCCACGCATGCACATCTTATTCCAGCGCCTGTCCTGCTTCCCACAGCTCTGATGCCCTTCTGAGTTTTACCCCACATATTTATTCCTGTCACTGTTTTTATTTCCTATATGAAAGCCACTGCCATGATTTCAGAAATTTATTTTTCCATGTTTTAAAATAATTTGTAGCTTTAGGCAAGCGTTATTTCTTGTGCTGTTTAGCACACGAAAGGAAGATGTTCGGAGGACTTTTGGTGTAGAAATGTCTCCAAGTTGGCCGCCGTGTGAACCCTTGCTAGTATATCCCAGGAGGCGCATCGTGGCTGTAGGATTAGTGATAGCCACAAGGCCCACTCGGTATCTTGCAGAATCAGTGCTGTGTGTCAGCTCTGCACTACCACCTGGCTGGGGACTCCGGCCTCAGTCCAGGGATTTTGCGGTGACACGGTGGCCTCAGCACAGGTGTGTCTTTCATAAACTTAGAGCAATCACTCGGAGCACTTAGCTTAAACTCCCTTAGGAAAGAAGCGTCTGGTAGCTCCTCAGGTGGGATCTGAGAACGGTCTCTGTGAGCAGGTCCTCCGGATCCGTGGGTGATCTGTCCCCTGCCACGTGCCTGCTCCTGCTGCCCTTTTGGTGCAAGCACTGTCAGAACGAACTGCACAAGCGCCAGACACTGCCTGAGATTCAACTTCGGCATGAATCAAACTGAAGGGGAAGCTGTTCTTGGGGAAGCCGGTTAACTACATGCTGAACATGACAGTCGAGTGAGGTTGTGATTCTCGCCAGCAAGTGAGCCATGTCGCCCTGCTAGTGGGAGGACCAGGAGAAAGCGAGCGGGGACTGGCTCTCACCAAGAAATTGGGTAGAGCCCTGGGGAGCTCTGTGCAGCGCATCTGGATGCTTTTGTTCTGCTTTTTGGCCTGTTGCTGCCTTCTGCCTGCAATTTGTGCCCCTGTTGCAGAAATTGCCACTAGGAAAAACCTGGCAGAATCGTGCTGAAGACCTCCTTGGGCCCTCAGTAGCGGTGCACGTTCCTTGGAACAGAGAGTTTGCTTGCCGGGGGAGCATACCTGGCTTGAACAGCTGACCCCTGGCTGGTGTGTCTCCAACTCCTGCTGTGCAAGGAGCTGCTGGCCCTGAAGGCGCCTGCCATCGTGATGCTGTACATTAGGAATGCAGAGGAGGTGCTCGCCGCAGAGCCCATCCCTGTCCACATCCGGGTATCAGTACAGTATCTCCCAGTGGCTTCCAGAACGAGTGCACAGCACCCCTCAGAATCACTGAAGAGCCACACAGATTGGTCATTGTCTTTCTTTTCCCTTCACACACTCTTGCTGAGACATTGTGGCTTCTCCTGGCATGTGCCACCCACGTGATCCCTACTGAGCGCTATTGGCAGGGGCCCTGGTTGCCCAGGCTCCCCCCAGAGTCTCTTTTTTCCCTGGGGCCAGTCAGGTAGCCTGTGAGCTGTGGGAGGGCCGTGCCGAGTGTGCTCGCTTACTGCTGGCCGCATTGCCAGTGGTGGTGCTCACTGTTAGAAACACAGTTGAGGACCGGCCAAATAGCTCAGCAGATTAAAGTGCCTGCAAACAGGCGCAGGGCGGGGGTTTGATCCCTAGGCCTGCTGTGTTGGCCCTGCCCCCGGAGCACATTGAGACAGGAATTGAGACTGGGTGTGGTGGCACGAGCCTGTAATCCTAGCTCTTGGGAGGCTGTAAACATGCAGATCACAATGAGTCCGATCTAGTAGTGATACCCTGAACACCCTGTAGACCCTCCCTAAAATACAAAAAAACAAAGACATGGTTGAGAAAGCAGCTGCCACGTCAGCCCGCTCAGAGGAGGATGTGCAAGAGCCGCTGTGGAGTCCACCGATTGGCCCCTTGACAGGGATGCACGTTCAGACCCTCCTCAAAGACCTGGTGCAGGGACCTGATATTTTATGTCCTAGCAGGATGTGGTCTGTGACTCATGGACAGGGACATAGAATGGAGAGCACCTGCCGCCCCGGATGGTAAGACCCCTTGCCGCGGGAGCTTGCTGATCTTATCCTGGAGACACGACCAACTGAGGCACACTCAGCAGGTGGACAGATGCTGTTCCTGTGCCCTGCTGCAGAGGCTGATTACAGTCTGGCAAGGGCCACACCCCAGCAAGAGGCTCCTTACATTCAAGTCTGAACGTGCCTCATGTCAGTTGAAGGAGGAAGAGAGCTGCTGAGACATTTGGGCCTATCCTAGTGGGTTTATGCAGCTGCTATCTGCATGGGACAGTGATGCCAGTGAGAGAGCCCTGAACAGACCACTGTGGCCACATGTGTCAGCTTTTGTCAGGGGATCCCTACCTCTGGCTCGCATCTCTCCAGACAGTGTATTATACCCTCGGAAGTGCCACCAACACCCTGGAAAATACCAAGGCACAAAGCATCTGACAAAGTGCATATGGCCTGGCATCCTGCCCGCTGCCTGTTCTCTGTGGGCCGTGGGCCCTTTGCCCATGGGAGGACGCCAATTGGATGTTCATAATGTGGGTAGAATGACCTTTGCTGGAGGCTGTCGGAGGTGGCTCACTGGGGCTCCGGATGGGCTCATCTCTGGCAAGCTTCTCGATGCCTCCAGGTCCTCCTGGATGCCGACTTGGCCTGCCCATCCACCCTGCTGACAGAGCGCCAGATCGCTGCTAGTGGCAGACCCCTGGCTTCCGTCTCCCAGGTTCCCTGGGGAGGTATCAGGTGGTTACTAAGCTTATATGTTTTGGAGGCCTGAAACCAAGAGATTCCTGGTCTTACTGGACCTGGATCACACATCCGTCTGGTTCCTGTTTCTCCAGAGCGCAGAAAGGTTGAGAACTGGGGACTGGGAGGCTCTTTTTATTCATGTTTTTAATAGTAAAGCAGATTCTGTTTTCTTGTAGCAGTCTGTGAAGGAACACACATAAAAACCTCCCATCAGATCTTTCCAGATTTGAATCTGGAAACAGTGTATTTCAAGTAAAAATATTTTTCTGCTTTACTTGTAAACTCACTTTTGTTTTTCCCCGTAGGCCATCAAGCCCTGTCGCCCTATGACCAACAACGCTGGCCGACTCTTCCACTACCGGATTACAGTCTCTCCTCCTACCAACTTTTTAGTAAGTTCCTAATACAAGCAAATTGCACCTCATTCAGAATGTAAATAGATTAAAATGTGAATATACTCATTCAGTTATTAAATAATCTTTCTTTTAAAAGTGCCTTTGTTGCTTAACTGGCCTTCATGAGGGTGCTCATGTCAGCCTCCCATCACTATACTGCTGTATATTTTTTCATTTCTATCATTGGTGCCGCGCAGTAGCCAAATTGAGAGTAGCCAGTGAGTTACGGAGCTGTTCACTGCCGCAGCGGAGTGGGAAAAATGAGTGGAACATTTTCCCATCTCTTAAAAACCAGTGAATAGCTTTATTTGTCTTAGGACTGCAACAGAAAATCTATTGCATGTTTTATGACATAATGCTACCTAATGCTTCCGAGCATGAGCTGTGTTCCAGGCACCATTTTAAATGTTTGGCATTTTTTAACTAAATTCACAGTCTACTTATTAAGTATGTATTTTCCCCACTGTACTATGGGGAATTATACACATTTCATAGATGAGACTGAATAACTTGCTTTAAGGTTACTCAGGTGCCACGTGGCAGCTGGGGGTTTGAACGCAGGGGTGAGTTGCAGTACACATGGGCACATAGCGTCCTATGACTTTCTCTCCCAGTATGAAATGCATTAATTCTGTTACATGCATCAGCAGGAGATTTCACTTTCAAAATTAGATTATTCATAATTATCTATTTTAACAGTTTTATTAAGCTACACTGTATGTATCATAGAGTGCATAATTCATGATTTTCAGTCTGTTTACGGGCTGTGAGGCCATCACCATAGTCTAACTTCAGAACGTTTTCTCTGTCCCGAAAGAAGTTCTGTGCCTGTTGGTGGTGCTTTCCCACCCTGAGACTCAGATGGGCCTGGGACCTGCTGTGTGTGGACTGCCTGTTTAGGGCTCATACGCTAGGTGCTCTTCTGCGTCTGGCTGCTTTCGCTTAGCGTAGTGTTTTCAAATTTGTCTGTGCTGTTGTGTCATCGATACTTCCCTCATTTTCTTTGTTTGTTGTTGATGCAGGGAATCAAACCCAGGGCCTCGTGCAGGCTAGGCAGGCACCGCCATCGAGTGCATCCTCAGCCTCTATATTATTCCTCTTTTTCATAGCCAAAATAATGTACATGTGTGAAGACAGGCAGACAGACAGACAGACAGACCGTGCTTTGTTTATTCATCCACCAGTGGATGGCTGTTGGCTTATCTCTACTATTTGCTGTTTTGAATAGTGCTGATGTGCACACTTGTTCTGAAAATGTTTGGGTATATGTGTTGATGTCTTCTGGGTGTTTGGCTTAGAGGTAACTATGTTTAATATTAGAAGAAACTGCCAAAATGTTTTCCAAAGCAGCAGTACCATTATTAATCATTATTTTACCAGAAGTTCTGTTCATTATATTTAATTTAGACTAGCTTTATTGAGTAACTCAATTGGAAATGAAAAGAGTGTCGGGGAGATGGCTCAGTAGAATAAGTGCTTCCTTGGCAAGTGCAAGAGCCTGAGTTCAATCCCTGGTTCTGCCAAAAAAAAAAAAAAAGAAATGAAAAGAAATATTGGCAGAACAGATAATGTATATGTGGACATTTTAAGGTCTTCTTTGTGTTCTTATATATACAATTTTTAAAAGAATGATATTCAATGCCAATGTAAGAATTGTGTTTTTTAGGTGATAATTTGTTTTAGATTTAGAGCATTTAAGATTAAAGGTAGTGGGGGTCTGCCCCTTAGCTCAGTTCTTTAAGTGGCTGCTTCAACAAAGCAGTCAGGCTCAAGTTGCTGGGGTTCGATCCCCACAACTCAAGCCAGCCAAACCTGCCCTGAAGGCATTTGGAACAACAACAACAACAACAACAAAAATTAAAGGTAGTGGGGTAGAGTGGCGCCAGAAGAGTTTCTTGTGGGTAGATTGACATTCATGTCAGCTGACTACTGACTGAGTCTGCAAGTAATGGAGATCTTTGACATGGTGTAGGGATTGGTCCACTGCCCTGTTTGTGGATTGGCTTCTCAGAGTGGGGCAGAGCGGGGCAGATGGAGCTGAGGGCTGAGTTCTGGTACCTTGAGGGCTTCAGAACCTTCCAGGAAATTTCTAACTTCTCTTAATTTTAATTTTAATTTTAAAGAGAATCGAAATAGAAACAATAGATAAGACATTAGAAACAAAGCACAATTTCCACAAAAAAACCCAAGATGTAGTAGTCAGCAGAGGTTGCTATGTTGCGCATTATTACTAGTCCTTTTTTTTTTTTTTGTACTACTGGGGATTGAACTCAGGACCCTGCACTTGCTAGGCAGGTGCTTATTCTATGCGCTATCTCCCCAGCCCTGTTACTAGGCTTGACCATGTTGGTGCTGAGTTTTCTCCCTTTGCGCTTGAGTTACCTGTTGCTATCTTGTTCCTTTTGCCTCTTCTGTTGGTTCAGAAATTCCGTTCAGTAAGAATTAAACGGGTAGTGTTGTGCAATTAAATAAAGCTGCTTCTTAGAAAATGAGGTTGTAATAGTCCTTTCTCTTTTCTTTGTGGTACTAGGGATTGAACCCAGGGGCATTTGACCACTGGCCTACATCACCAGCCTTCCCTCCTCCTTCCTTCCCTTTCTTTCCTTCCTCCCTTCTCCCCTTCCTCGCTCTTCTCCTTTTCTTCCCCCTTCCCCTTATCTCTGTCTCTCTGCCTTTGTATGTCTCTCTGTTTCTCTGTCTCTGTCTCTGTCACTCACTCGCTCACTCGCTCGCTCGCTCAAAGTCTTACCAACTTTCCCAGGCTGGCTTTGAACTTGTGAGCTTGCCTCACCCTCCGGCGTGACTGGGGTTACAGGCGCGTACTCCCACGCCTGCCTCCTCTTTAGCCTTGTGGCATCATCCATAATAAGCGTCACTGATTTTCCAAATAATTAATATCTGGAGCCAGAAGATTCCACCAAACAGAGAGCCACACTTAAAACTTTTGTGTAAAGTTCTCCCCGCTGTTTAGCAAGATGTTGAGCCCGTCAGTTACTCTCTTTCCTACGTCTGGTCGCTTTGTGTCCTGATGGATTTCTGCAGATTCACGTTACGTTGCTTACTTAAGTCGCCTTTTCTGGTTGTGTTTACTTGTAGACCGACAGGCCAACGGTGATCGAATATGATGATCATGAGTATATCTTTGAAGGATTCTCTATGTTTGCACATGCCCCACTGACCAATGTAAGTATATGCCACTTGGCTCCTTTTCCCTACTGGGTTCCTTCTTTCTTCCTTTCATCAGTTCTTCCCAAAAGTCAAAGTAGATTTCCCTCTACCTGGCTGTGAAGTGACTTTCCTTTGTGTCCTGCTGTGTGAGCTGCAGGAAGCCTGCAGGAGTGTGTCAGGTGGGAGTGCGACATCTGTGCTAATGAGTCACAGATTCGGTCTGCAGTAAACGGTGTAAGTAAACATGTGTCAAAATAACATTTTGAGAGTGTGAAAGATTGAAAAGGGAGGATAAACTGTGGAGTAATGTGTTAAAGCTATTTTGGGCTGGTTGTCCTTCAAAAGAAAGTTGGGAAGTTTTAAGGAGAAGCTATTGTATAATCACTGAGTAAAGGAAAAAGAAAGAGCCTGTTGAGAACACTTGGAGCCTGAATTAACTTCTTGCAGTTTTCTGCTTCTGAATCCTAGAAATATGTCTCTCTTCTTTGAGAGACTTAGTCTGAGGAAAGGATTCATGTCCCTGCGTGGGCATTAAGGCTACTTTGTTGGTGATCAGTTCAAGCAGAAGTTCTGCATCTGTGGCTCCAAAGCTCTTCGTCTCAAGGCTGCTAGCCTGGGAGATCGCCCTACTTAGTGTGTGTTCTGGTTGGCCAGTGAGTTGGCTGGCATCGGTGCAGCAGCGGGGTGTCACAGTGCTCTGGCCTGCTGGGCTGGCCGGTGAGAGCCTGCTGAATTGTAGTGGTAGCTGTCTTCGAATGCTGTGTGGTCTTCTCTGGTTTGGTAACATGGAATGATATCTGTAGTTATTTTAGAACAGTTTACTTAAAGCACGAAATTCTTTTCCATTGAAAACTCAGGCTCAAATGTTGTCCTTACCTTGGTCCTTTCTGTCATTCTTTTTTTTTTTTTTTAAAAAAGTTTATTAAATAGGTGTGATTTTAATTAAAAACAAGTTGTTGTTCTGTGAGATTTTCTTTATTGCAAAGTATATTTTGTCCTGGAGCTTTTTCTTTCAAAGGATTATACTATAAATGCAAAAATAAAATCATATGATAGTCCATATGACAGCAAGCTCTAGGGTGGGCCATCTGTTTATTAATGTAGAAAAGGGGCAGGTCTTAATCTTCATAAAAAGGCATTTGGAGGTGCTTAAATTTTAAAGGTTCATGCATGTGTGTGTGTGTCTGTCTCAGACACTCAAGTCCTTTGTTTCCCTGTGTCTCATGGGCTGAGAGTTGTAAAGGCCTCCTGAGGTCTTCGAGGCAAACTCCTACCCCAGGATGATGCCCCTCCCGCAGAATTACTTTTTTGCAAAAAATAGAAGAAATCATTTAGTTTGCTTAAAATTATGTATCATTTTTATCTCTTAATTCTCTAGAAGTGGTACAGACTCATTTTGACTTTTAGGATCACTTTAATCCAACAAGAAAAGCAATTTGACTTCCTAGAGATGAGGTTATATTAGTGAATTCCACTCACTAGCAATGTGATTTGACATCTCAGTCTTGGTTTTCTCATCTAAAGATAAGTGTGTTAGTTGTAGCCATCTTACAAGCTCTCCTGAAAAATACATGAGGTGACACATGAAAAGTGTCTTTCATCTTTCACAGTGTTGGGCGCGTAGTAAATAGTGGCATCCTTGTGGGAAAAGTGCCACAGCCCACTGAGTTTGCCTCTACTTTTGTCACTTCCGCATTGCTGAGACAAATACCTGATGTGCACAACTTGAAGGAGGAAAGGTTTATTTTGGCTCACAGTTTCTGGGCCTTTGGGCCATGTTTACCTGGCTCCGAAGTGGAAACTTAGAAGAAGGTCGTGATGAGGGAAGTTCCTTGCTTGGTGGTGCGAGGATTGGGAAAGAGCCCAAGAACGCATCGGCTCTTCAGCGCCTCCGCTGGGGACCCTCTTATGCCAGCTGCGCTGCACCTTGCTGTAGCCCGTTCTGCTGTGAAAGCAGCACGTGATAGTCTGCTGTGTCCCCAGGAGCCAGTCACCAAGTAGCCTCCTCCAAGCTCCACATGTGAGTCTTTGGGGGACTCTATATTTAAGCTTTTCTTTTTGTGGCTGGTTCAGCCCACCCTGAGGGTGGGGCGGGCACATTATGTGGTGCTGGGATTGAACCGAGGTCCCTGAGCATTTGCCTAAGCTTGTCTAGGCAGGTGCTTTAGTCCGCTGAGCCATCTCGCTGGACCTATATATAAACTCTTAATAGAAACTTATAATTTTTTTTTTTTTTTAAACCTTGGACAAGTTACTACTTGAACTTCATTAATAATAGCTGTGCTTGCGATACAGTTAAGCATACTTTATTAAAAATAGATTTTTTAAGAGCACTTTTAGCTTTGCAACAAAAGTGAATGTAATACAGTTTTTTAAACGTTCCTAGTGCAAAGACTGAGAGATTGTTAGTGTTAAATTAATCACAGTTGTTACTATTACAAAATAAAAGATAAGACTGAAAAAATTCCTGGCTTCAGCATATATTTTATATAAATATTGAAGTTCTTAAGACTTGAAAACTTCACCCTTTAATGAGGAGCCCCATCATTTATGCTAGAGATGTTGATAAAATAAATCGAATTTTAAGTCGAATGTTCTATAGTTCATAGGAATTAGAGCCATCAAAGGCCTCTTGAATTTGAAATAGCCTCCCAAGAAAAAGAATTTTTAAATCATTTTACTGATCTGATTCATCTCCTTGTAAAGCGAGCACACCAACAAGCAGGGCATACAAATGCTGGTCCTGATAGAAGATCAACCAGAGCTTGTCCTGGCGTGTTCTCTTAAGGTTTGAATTGAAATAGATGGAAATTGTTCTTGGCTAAGTGTACCACATTCTGGGAGAATTTTATCCTTTTATGTAGCACATTTGCTGTTATTTACAGGGTAATAACTGGTGTTATTAAGGGCTTTGGCAGTGTAACTAAATTTATAAAAAGTACATTTATGGTATTAGCTGCACAAAGGAAGCCCCTGGGTCATTTCTCTCCTTCCTTAGTTGGCATTGCATTTCCAGTGACCTCAATGGAGAATTTGTTATTTATTCTCTGAAAGTAATAGAGTAAGAATATAGGATTTGGGCGGGGGGTGTTTTCCCATCCAGGATGAGATAAAAGTATCAGCCAACATATGAGATTCTTACCTTTCAGATACTCAACTATGTTTCCACAAGTGATAGTAGGCATGTATGCTGTTTGATGGTGGTGATTGGAAGCTCATTTGCTGATCTTTGCAGTAGTTTCTCGTTTGACCAGTATGTAAAATACAAGTTATCTGAGCCTTAGGGAGAGCTTCGAGATTGAGTTCATATGAAGATGCTGCCTCTTTAACCTGCTCTGGTGGTATGAGTGGAAGTCCAAAAGGGAAATCAGATATATAGAGAGTCCAAAGAAAAAATTTCAGTCAGTGAGTTTTGTGGAAATGAGATGGAAAAAGGGCTATACTTGCATAAATCATCTAGCAGCATGCTTTCACACTTGACAGGAAGAAGTAAAGCTTGCACTTCTGCTCTTTCTCTGCCTGCCTTTTGTGTAGTCCCAAGAGCTCTTGTTTTTCTCTCCTGTATCCTCTCTTGCCAATGGTTCAGCACCACCATCTGGCTTTTCTTCCCATCTGTGCCCCCGTCCCACAGGCATGCTGCCTGGAGCCATACCATAGCTTGGCATTCACGTTGCCTGCTGGGGTGCCCTCCTGCACGATATGCCCTCTGGTACCGCACCCATGTGAAACTGAACTCATCGTCCATCCTGTGTATTGAGTTTGAGGTACTCTGGAATTTCTGCTTTTCTGTTAGTGCCATTGTGACCTACTTGGTCATTTAAGCGCAAAACCCAGGTGTTATCTGATGTTCTTATCCTTCATTCCTATGTTAGGATGGTCACTGTACATCAACAGCATTTCCTAACCGTGTGTAAAGTGTTTCCCTCCTTTGTCGTCTTTCTTTCATTTGAACTAGGCTGTTACATTAGCCTTTGACCTTTGCTCCTGTCTGAGCCTTTCCACACTGTTTTCATAGACTCATCTAAAATGTAAACCATGATAAGTGCTCACTTGAATGTATTTGAAGGTACTTGAATAATTTCTTGTTGCCAAATAGCTGTAAGCCCTGACCTCAGCATGTTTTGTGAGGGCAGCACAGGGGGGCTCTGTCCTTCCTCTCTGGAAATCACAGGGCTTGTGTCTTTACTGTATTATACTCTGCCAGCTAAATGATGGCTCCTTCAGGTATCTTTTCTCTGTCTCACCAGTAGCTGAATCCCTTTGTTCCTTCAACTCTGTTTTAGATGAACTGGAAAAAATCCCTCCCCATCTTTGATGACTCAGTGATTTTTTTGTACTTTATAGTTTTTTCTTTTGCTTGTTTTTAATTGCACTTACAAGTTATTATGTATCATATTCTCTTTGTATTTTTTAAAAAATCATTTATTTATTTATTTGGCACAGGGTCTCCCTACATAGCTGAGACCCATAGTGGCCCTCCTGTCTCAGCCTCCCAGCACTGGGATTACAGCTGTGTACCACCACACGCGGTTTTGGGGTGGCACAGCTGTGCACTCCCACACCTGGTTTTGGGACCACACAGTGTGCCTGGGGTTCCAGGGCTGGCACGGCATGTCGTGCCAGGATTGACTCCAGGTCCTTGCACTTTCTAGGCAGGCTCTTAGACTGCTGAGCTATCTCCCGACTCTCTCTTTGTATCTGCTTAGGTACTTTTGTTCCTCTTCTACATCCTTACGTTTTAAGGCAGGACTAGAGGCTTATTGTAGAATAGTTATGGACCTTGTTAGGAAGCAGTTGTTCTTTTAAAGCTAGGTTAAATCATGCACCAATTTGTACCTCAGATATTTTAAACTGTTTGTAGGGATAAAGTAGAAGTTAAATAATAGTGGCACTAGCGTGTTGCTTTGCTCAGTTTAGATTCAGTACCACTGCGAGGTTGAAAATCAGTGTTGTATTCAAGTTAATTATGAGTTGTACTCAACTATTAACTTAAAGAACATCTAAGCAGTAAGCATCATTTCTGAGGAAAAAAGTTCCAGTAGATGGCATTATAATGCTACTTTTATGTTTTTCTAACCAACCCTTTTGCTGGTAGAATTAAAATTTGTTTCTTTTTGATTGCTGTGGTTTGTAAAAATGATTACAAAGTCTCATGGATAGATTGTGGAGCCAGAAAAGCTCACTTAACATCTCTCTAGGGCCTCTAGGTCTGTTATTTTCCCCAACTAGTCAGCCAAAGCATTCCAGAAACCTCTTTCCCTCCTTTTCTCATTCATTCAGAAATGTATTTATAGAAAACTACTGTACCTAGACGCTAGACAGGTGTCTGCTGGTACTGGGGGGTACGACAGCTGTGGATTTATTTCACGCTGAGCCTTCTTCATTCTCATTCATGCCGCAGGTGTCAGAACAGGGGATGGGAAGTGTATGCTCCAGCGGCTAAGGCTAGGGGACTAGAGCACTTGCTGTCACCTGAGGCCTGGTACCCAGGCATCTCTGCCTTGGGTTTCGCCACATAGCCACACCTACCTCCAGGGTGCTGTGATGGTTGCTTGAGTAAACCTTGTGAAGCATCAGAACAGTGCCAGGCCTCATAAATGCCAGCCACTGGTATTTGTATTCTAACTTAGTTTTGTACTTCCACAGTTGCTTTGCTGAACAACCACAGTGTGCTCTTCGGTAACCTGTGAATCCGTAACTGATACGTTACCACGCTGCCATCATCCCTGACCTGCCTAATGTTTGAGCCAAAGACTTGGAAAGATTTAAAAAAAAAAAAAAATTGTGAGGGGGAAGATTAGTTTATGAGTGTGGTTTTGTTAGTTCTGTAGAGGCAGTATGTTTAATTTTAACGAGTTCCTAGCATGCTTGTGTTGCTGCTGCTCCTGTTAATTAAGCACCAGTGTTGTGCAGGTTTCCTGTGGAGGGCTGGCCAGCTGGGCTCCTGCCATTAACGTCCAGCAGTGTGCTCAGGCTTCATGTGCAGTGTTAGCAGCTTGGACGAAGGTGAAACCTTCTCATCTGTTCATGAGCCTCTGGGGCAGGTAGCAACCGCGTGCGACCCGAGCCTTCCGGGAGGGCTTGTGGGGCTGAACCCCTCTTCTTCCTTTGCAGATTCCCCTGTGTAAGGTAATTAGATTCAACATAGACTACACGATTCATTTCATTGAAGAGATGATGCCTGAGGTAAGGGAAAAGATTGTTTAACAGCTTGCTGTGATTTCTTTTGTTTATGCCACACTTTTTAACATTGAACTTGGCCAGCTCTAGTTTTTTTTTTTTTTTTGCCATAAGAAACCCCTAAAATATCATTTTCACTGTTGGAAAGGTCACAGAGATGTAGCTATAGCATCAAGGTTAAAATTTGGATGATTTTAAAACTCACTGACCTATTTTTGAACCCCTTTCTGCTTGCCTTGCATCTGCTGATAGCAACTTTACATCTGTTTCTAGTTTGTTTTGCGTAGGGGACAGATTTTGGTAACCGGCCATTATCAGAGAGGAAATTGGAGTAGAGCAACTGAAGCTGATAGCTGTTGGAATAATCTTATTCATTATCTACAATGACAAGATCAGTGCTTAGTTCATTTTTCTTCCCATATATTTACATATTTTTTCCTAATTGTTTTTCATTGCGGATGTTCAGCAGCAGATTTATCTAAATATATGCAAGAGATTTAAAATTCCAAAGCAAGATTAATGTGAATCTCAGAATGATTCATTGCCTGATCTTGAATTTAGTGGTGTCAACAAATCACACTAAGAAATAACAACTAGACAGCAAACAAGCTTGTGTACTTAACATTGCATTGAAGTTGGGGTCGATTTCTGGAGCCCTTAGCTCTTCTTGTAATGTATCTAACAGAGATACTCTGTCACAGGCAGGGAGCACGAGGGGGAGTTGACAGGCCTGACACACACGCTTAGCACCTGTTTCATTCTGAACAAGTCCTGCTCATCCTACCTGCCATTCAAAAAGAATTAAAGAGAAGGGGCCACCCCTCCATTCTCCTAATGAGAAGGGCTTTTTGTGCTTCCTTTTGCTTTTTAAGGTCATAAGCCTTGAATTGCTATTGTAAAAGTTTCTGACTCGTGACAGGATCTCACACAGAGTGATTTATGAACCCTGAATAAAACAAGTAGGAAGAATTATGAGGCAAGTCTCATTTGTAAATATATCATCTGCTTAGCTTGTTTATGGGTGAAATTTTGGTACCAATTTTGTAGTTTTTCTTAGCCCTTTATTTGCCTTCATTAAGAACTTGAGCTCTTGTGCAGAGGACCTCTGCTTTGGTGACGTAGTGATGGTATCCTGGTAGGATGGTGTGGTGGACAAGCAATGGGTGCAAGTATTTGTAATGTGATTAACAAAGAGTTCCTAGGACATTCTGATATGATTTACAATTGGTTAGAGAAATGATACAAGTGAGACTTGACATTTTTCATTTTATTTGTGTACTGAAATAAGCTGAGCTGACATTTTTATAGAAATCCTAATGCAATTATTGCCTCCTTTTTTTATCTGAAACCAGTGAGCCATCTTAGGACACTGGCTGAACTTTTTAGGAAATTATGTTTTTAGTCTATAGCTTGAGCAGATACTATCCAAGGCACTTGACTAGAAGACATTGAATGTTCAGTTATTCTGTATTTGCAGATCCACAGTAATTTGATTTTGCTTTATTTTTCAGAATTTTTGTGTGAAAGGGCTTGAACTCTTTTCACTGTTCTTATTCAGAGATATTTTGGAATTATATGACTGGAATCTTAAAGGTAAACAATAGGATTTAAGACAAGAGTAATGCTTATAGAAGAACATAATATATGTGAATACTTACAAATGGGGCAAGGGGTAGAGTTAAAGTTCTTGTTTTTGAAATATTCAGGGAAAGATGTGATTCATAAGAATATTTGCTTTTATTTGATATAAATAAGTTTTTATGGATTTTATTTCATACAGTTTGTCAATGTCTAGTGCTAAGAGTGCTTGCTTCTGTAGCACATATACTAATATTAGCGAAGAAGATGGTGCCAGTTGTTGTAACTGCCTTGTTTTATGTACATTAGTAAAATCTCATTAGTTAACATTTTAAATCTAGTGAACTGTGCTGTAATAAACTTTGGAGATGACAGTTTATTAAAACAATGCTTCTGTCACGCCTTAGCACACACATGAAGTTGTGCACACATGCAGCTGATTAGAGAGATTCAAATACTCGATCCCTGAATCTTGCAACAGTTAACTCTTTTGGAAGTTTCTGCATTCTGGCAAATATTTACTGGTTTATTTTTAAAGTTGTATATTGATGAATGGCTTTTCAAGCCAGGGTTTTAAATGAATGAATTGAATGAGTGGCTTTTCAAACCAAGTGTATTGATGAATGGCTTCTCAAACCAATTGCATCTCTCAATTTTTCAAGCATATTGATTAAAATGTGAAGGAATTAGCATACAAGCATGTAACAGTATACTGTCATGCAGTTATAAAAAGGATCTTGACTTCTAACAGTAATTCTGCTGTGTATATTTGCTCCTCGGGACTCTCTTTCTTCTGGTTTGCTGTGGCTTCCCCATTGTAGTCCTCACTGGATGGTTGTGCAGTTGCCCCATGATTGATGGAGCTACTGAGGTGAAGGGTGGGGGGAGTAGGATGTTTTATGTGCCTACTTCTGGTAGTGCTTCTTGTGGTTACCATAAATCTTAGGAATTAAGGAAGTTGCAGCGTTGGCTTCCTACGGCTGTTTGATTTCTTTTGCCTTTCCTTTTCACTTGTTTGCTCTAGGTCCGCTGTTTGAAGACAGTCCTCCCTGCTGCCCAAGATTTCATTTCATGCCACGTTTCGTAAGATTTCTTCCAGGTAAAGCTTTTGGTTTGGCGGAGACCCAGTGAGATAGCGTGTCTGCAAATCAGACTGCCCTTCTCCTTTCAGTCTTTAGGGACAGCTTTCTCACCTTGGACACTGTTAATTATCTACTTCTCAGGTTGCACACGGACATGTAAAATTTTGCATGCTGGTTTATGCCCTTGCATAATTTATCATATCTCAGGGTTAAATGAACAATGGAAGAATTGATTTATAAGTTTTGGAAATCTGCTTGACAAAATGTCATCCTAGTGTTAAAGTTTACATAGAAAAATGCATGTGGCTTAAATACAAATAGCTAATTGGAAAACAGGATAAAATCTTACATATAGTGACTGTGGTTGTAACAATGCTAAAAATTCTACTATCAGAGTTATGCTTGGTGGGGTTATGGGTTATTTTTTCTATATTCTTGACACATGTGATTTTAATTATTTTACAGTGAAAAAGATGCTCAGTAATTTATCCTCTTGAATTAAAATACAGAAGTAAATATATGACTTTGTTTTTTAAAATGATATTGTAATGGTTTCTGATTGTTTCAGGAAGCTAGCTGTTACATGTGGCAATATTTAAGTACTTTAAAAATGATTTTTTGATGCAGTCTTTTATTCGTCTTTTTTTTTTTTTTTTTTTTAATGCAGTTGTTTAGGTGCCTTTGTTTGCAAAATCCGATCCGTTTTTGGCCACCTGTACCTCCTCCATGGTGCTCTAGTTGGCTTCCTGCTTTGAGTGTCGTGAAACCCGGCTTAGAGTTCCCTCCCAGCAGTTCTGTTGCTAGCCCGTGGACTTCTCCTACGGTCCTACCCCTAGCTCTACAGCTTTTTGACCTTTCCTACTGTAATAACTGTCCCCACCCAGCCCAAAGGTAAAACTTTGAGTCCTGCCACCACCCAGGACCTCCCACCTCTGACTCCAGGGGCTCGCTCGCTGGTGTCCCTTCGTACCCTCCCTCGCATGCGCTTTTCTCCTCCTTCCGTTGGATTCTTCCCTCTTGTGCTTTCTTGACGGAGCACTGTGTCTCGACCTTGATCTGCCTGCTTTAGCTGTCTCAGTGGCTTGTGCCACCATTACTGTCCATGCAGAAATCACCACTCTAACGTGCTTGTTCTTTTCCTCTGTGTGGGCAACTCAGCGATATTAGTGGAAGCAGAGGTAGAGCTGCTGATGTAAATCTGGGGTCTCCAGTCCCGGAAGGGGAGTTTTTATCTTGTAACCTTATGACTGTGAACTCAGCACCCAGACCAAGACCTCAAGTTTTGAAAATTCAGTCCTGCATTCATCCTTTTCTCCTTCTCTCTCTCCCTTGTCCACCCTCGTGCCTCAGAATGCTCTTCCGCCTGTCAGGCAGCCTTCCTCACATGCTCTGTCAGTCCTCAGTTAAGTTTTGCTTTCATTCCAGACCCCTTGCACCCTGTCCCAGCCTGCTGCAGCTCCTGATGCTGGAGTGGCCTCCGGGATCAAGCCTGAGGAGGCGTCCCATGCTCATCCCTGCTCTGCCATGGTGCCTGGGCTTGTGCCTTGCACTGCTTCTAGACTCTGCATCCTTTCAACTCGGGGCTTCTGTTGTTGCTTTTATTTTTCTACACAGTCGAGTTTAGGTTTCCCTTAAGAGTTAGAGGAACAAGGGCTGGTGAGATAGCTCTGCGGACTAAGTGCCTGCTTAGGCAAGCACAGTGACCGGGGATAGATCCCCGGCACCCCATGCTGCACCGCCCTCGGGTGTGCTGAGCGGGTGCTGAACTCCGGGCGCGGTGGTGCACGCCTATAATGCCAGCCTGGGGAGGCTGAAAACAGGAGGATCATTGAGTCTGATCTGTGTAGTGAGACCCTGTACAAATACATTAAAAATAATAAAATAAATAAATATATAAATAAATGAAAAAGAGTTAGAGGAACAGGTATTCTTCCCTCAGTCCAGAGAGTTACGATAGCTTATTTTCATTCTAGGATAACATTCCTTACATTTTAATAATATTGTTAATGCTTATTTTGTTTAGCAGATGCATTTAGAAGCCTTTCTCCTTTTACATCGGGTTTCCTTTTGCTGAGATGCCTTTTTACTTTGGAAGTAAAGGCATCTTTGATTTCATAATGGAGCTTTAGAAATAAACTTGTTAGAAAATGGTGTTAGAGTGGCTTTGTTGAAAAGCCTTTTCTTCCTGTTCCCCTCTGCCACTAGGCATTCTGTTACAAACACATCTCTTAGAGAAAGTGGGCAGTTTTAAAATCATCTTACGGAAAAATCTGAGTTAGATACTTATTTTTGCAGAATTTCAGCACAAAACATTTCTCATAATTATGTAGGGGAAGCATTTAGGTAATCATAAAGTTGAAGGTCTACTGATGTATTTTTAAATAGGAATTACTTTTTCATTAAACTTTCCTTTGAAAAATATACTTTTTTTTTAAAGCCTGAAGGATAGAGAAAAGTAATGTATAATAAAAGTATTTTTTATTGGTTGGCCAAGTATGGTTGATTAATTTTTAAGATGGGACTTCATTAAAGATCTTTTAGAAAAGTATGAATAAAGGACCGGGGATGTAGCTCTGCCGTAGAGCGCTTGTCTGACATGGGCATAGCCCTAGGTGCAGCCCCTAGAACTGCAAACAGCAACAGCAAAACAAATCAAAACAGAAAAGGATGCATTACAAAACATATTTCAGTATGTTTTTATTTTTTCTATGTGTAAGATTTTCCACATATTTGTCATCATACTTGTATATGATTTGCATCTTCTTTTTTAATAATTCATTGAGCAGATGGATGTTTTTAAAGATTATGATACATAGTGCCAAATTTCTTGTCAAAAGAATCACATCATTTTATGCTGCCATGAAAAATGTATCATAACTTTTTTTTTTACATGATAGGTCCACTCATTCTTTTCCCTTCTTTCTCTCCTTCCACCATTCTTTATTTCCTTTTTAAAATTTCAGGGGTGCGCTCCAAGAGGCTGAGGAGCAAGTGTGGTCTGCGCCTTGTACTCCTAGTGCTAACACAATTCCTGATACGTGTCAGAAGCGCCATGCACACTTGTTCATTGACTTTATTTAGTTGGTCGTCTTTTTTTGTTTTTTTTTTTTTTGTTTTTGGCGGAAGCAGGGATTGAACTCAGGCCTTTGTGCTTGCCAGGGAAGCACTTCTCCACTGAGCCATCTCCCCGGCCCAATTGTTCGTAATGGCACCTTGTTTAAATACTTGTGCTCTGGTTACTGATGAATGTGCTTTCTAGACATTGTTTGATATTCTTAGTTTTTAAAAGCAAACCTTTCCTCAGGCTATAACAATAAATATTGAAATGCGCACTGAAGGAAGGTAGGGAATTCGGCCCTTCTTCACAGAAGGAGCACAGCTGTGAGCTCAGCGCCCAGATCAAGACCTCGCGCCCGGGAGCTCCCGCGGGCCCCTCTCCAGCCCACACGGATCCCATAGGAGCCGTGGTTCCGACCCAAAACACCATGTACTATTTTTTCTTGTTTCTGAAGTATAAAAACTGGAATTTTCTCTTCTTTTGCTGTCTTCTATTTAGTGTATTTTGGAGATGCGTTGTTGCAGTTAACGGTACTGTAGCTGGTTCCTTCTCACTGCTGTCATTCTTTATGGTACAACTGAGACCCATCTAGGATGAGTGATCATTTGAGTATTTTCAGATTTCACATGTAGTAAAGGTGTGTCACTAAAAGACATGTCCAGGCGTTGCTCTAGCAGATAGATCTTCCCTGAAGGCCCACACATTTTTTTTTTTTAATGTATTTTAGTACACTGTCTACTGGGTCTCACTACACAGATCAGACTCTAAGTGATCCTTCTATGGTCAGCCTCCCAAGTGCTGGCTTATAGGTGTGTGCCACCACGCCCAGTCCCAATCACCATCTCATGGTGCCACACTTGTCTTTTGGTGTGATTTCTTTCTTTCTTTCTTTCTTTCTTTCTTTTTTTTTTTTTTTTTGGCGGAACCGGGGATTGAACTCAGGCCCTTGTGCCTGCCAGGGAAGCGCTCGGCCCTTTTGGTGTGATTTCATATTAAATTTTACACTTGCTTTCTGTGTTTCAAAATGACAGTACTGTCTGTGTTCTCATCAGAAGTATAGGAGAGCTCACGTTATTTCACGTTCTGTCCTGCGCTTGGCATCCCCTCCCGCTTCCTTACAGAGGAGAGCACTTGTTGAGACACTATGCACATTTTAAACTTGGAAAGCTGGCCAGATTCTCTCCAGAAAGGACATGCCATTTTGTATTTCTGACCAATGGTTTATACAAAAAGGACTCCCTTTCTGTCACTTGTCAGCGCTGGGTGGTACTAGACTTTTATAGTTTTGTTCATCTGGTAAGCAAAAGTAGTATTGTCACCTTTCATACTTGTTGTTTTTCTTTGAAAATGAGTTACTTTTCTGATATTTTGAGTGTTTTATAATCTCATTCTCATTTGCTTTTTATTTATATCAGTTTATTATTTTTAGACATTCTTCTTGAATGTTTATTTTTATAATATAACATATAAAGTTATATATAAAGTTTTTATATAAACATATAAAGTTTATTATAATTTTTTTGAATGTTCAGGTTTTGTCAGTCATCACATTTCTCTGGTTCCTCAGTTTGCATGCTTTAAAGACAGCTGTCTCAGTTGCTTTGTACAGATTTACAAAGCTAAGTTAATAGCTTAAACCAGGGATTACTACACTCAGGCCCTTTTGCCAAATACTAAATCACGCATCAGAAAACAACCAATTTATTGAGATTTTAAGGAGTTTTTCAAATTTTTTTTCCCTGTTCCATTCTTCCCTTTGTTTATAGACATCTATAGACCAGTTTAAGGTTTTCCTCTCACTACCTAGCTGGTGCGAGGCGCCGTGTGAGATAGCAGGGTTGCACATGGAGGAAAGCCTGTGCACACCTTATATATTACTATACGAAGCAGTGAAACTCCTGAATCAATTTTGCAAGTGACTGTCTACCAAATTGATTTTTGGAATTGGCCCCATCTCCAACAGCACTTCGTGGGTATGGCTGGCAGCAGGCCAGAGGGCTGAGAGAGAATGTCCAGATTTCTAGAAGGGAAGTGTAGTTTGAAGAGACATACATCGATACAGCATCTTCATACAGCTTCGTGCTGAGAAAATGCCCATTGGTAAAGCAGATTTTAGGTAACGTGGTTATATCAAGTCATCTCTGTAGGAATATAGAAGACGTAACAATACAGTTAGGCCGTTTTCTAAGTGTGAGGAAAGGAGGGTTTTTTTTTTTTCCTATTTCTTAAAATTGAGTGCTATACAGTTGATAAATACTCATTTAAGCGGCGATATACTTAATAAAAATTCCCTAACAAATTACCCCCTCTTCCAAATAACCATATAAATAAGCAAGCAATATAAACTGAGAGAATTGGGTCTCTAAGAAACAGTTTATAAAGTCTGTCAGTTCATTAATGACTGTCCAGATTCATTCCCTGAAACACAAACTCCAGTTCTTCCCGAATAATGAGCCGTTGTCACGGTTCCAGTCCCAGAGCTGGCAGAATTCCTGCTAACCTTAGCTTACCCGCTCTAATTTCTCATTTATATCATGTCCTATTTATCCCAGCCAACGAGATAAAAATTACTTCCTAGCCCTTGGTGACATGGTTCCATAAATCCCCAACATAAACATGTAGCAAAGCAGACAAACCCGGAGCACCAATTCATTAGCATTAGCAAATTCATGGTAGTCTGAGAGCAAGTGGCTGTGGTATTTATCTGCCTCAGAAAGTCATCCCCCAAGTATTTATGAGTGGTTTTTGTTTTTTTTTCCTTTTGCTGTGCTGGGTGTGAGGGACATAGCCTGCGCTCCATGCCTTGGCAGAAAGCTCTCATTTTATCTGTCTCCTTGTTTTTCCATAAAATTGAGCCCCATGCCAAGTGGGGCGCGGTGTCTGTTCCCTCTTCCTCGATGGGCCTTTGCCGGCAGGTTGCCTGTCTTGACATTGCACTTTTTTCTCAGTGGTAAATAACTCTTTTTATGGCTCAACCGCCATATAAACATTTAGCAGATTCCTTTTAGCCTTATCAAATTTGTATCTGGTGTATATATTTTCTTGCTTTTTAAAAATTATATTTAGCTTTTATGCTATCAAACTCACTCCTCCCTTATCAGCAACTTTGGACCCACACTAGAAAGTAGGTAGTTGCCATTCTTGGCCTTGTTTACTACCTTGCAGTTACTTTTCTCCTAACGTTGGGCAGTGCCCCTATCATTTATTTAGCGTAGAGTCCCGTGCTTTGTAAGTCTAAGTATTCCTGCCTCCCAGCACTTTGGTTAAAAAAAAAAAAAAAGTTATTTTTCTTTAAATTCAGTGTTAGTGATCCATTTTACTTTATCTAAAGTACCTGAGATGAGCCAGCCATAATTGCTCTGGTGCTGTTTGTTTGCTTGGGTCTGCGTGTATTTGTTCCTTTTACCATTCCCTTCCCCCATAAGATAGGATTGTAAAAACATTCTTGCAGGAAAGCAACATTCTACTCCTTCTTAAAATATTGTAGATTCGGGATGGGCTCAGCAGTTTAAGTGCCTGCCTGGCAAGTGCAAGGTCCCAAGTTCAATCCCCAGTCTACCCCCCCCCCAAAAAAAAAAAAAAAAGATTAGTGGAGTATCCTCAGTTCTCTTAAATAATTTTACTATACTGTAGTGATTATGATCCAATGGCAGCATTCTCTTCTTGGTCCCTGATGAGTCTAGTTAATGTGGCAATCATTGCAGTGTTGTCCGGCTGTCCTCGTTCCTGCTGTTTGGTATGTGTGCATGTACAGGGTGTGGTCTCATGGTTTAACTTTGGAATTTTGCTTATCTGCCTGCTTGCTTCAGTCTCCTGTAAGATTAGAGATGATCATAGACTCAGACCACGAGGCAGGCGTCTCGGGTTTGTAGTGCTTTGCAAAGATGGGGCTATCATTGACTGAAGAACACATTGCATGCAGATGGACTGAAATGCACAGTGACACTGACTCAGAGAAATATGTACCCAGCCACATCTAAATCTGTGCTGTTAGAAAAAGAGCCCTGTGGACTTAGTGGGTAGAACAGTAAAGATTTGCTTCTCACAGTTCTGGAGGCTGGAAGTCCAAGACCAGAGTCAGTATAGCTGTGTCCTGGAGAGGGCCAGCTTCCTCCTTGGTAGATAGCCGTGCTGTCACGGGATCTTCACGTGGTGGAGAGTAGAGTGGGCACAGTTGTCTCCTGTTGCTTACAAAAGCAGAGGTCCTGGTGAGGAGCGCTCCATGCACCTGGCCTGAGCACTGTGCAAACTGCCCCTCTGAGGTGAGGGTTTGAACATGAGTTTTGGAGGCTCCAAAGCAGTCAGAGTAGCACCATAGGATCTGCTGATCAAAGGTGCCTTTGGGCTTAAGGCAGGTGCTTTGTGATGAGTTACACAAATATTTCACTGCTGTGAACAATAATGGGAATTAATAGATAGAACATGTCTTTATGATGCTTGATTGAATTTTGTAAGTTTTGAACAATTATGTTTTTTGGAGGCTCCATTGTTTTTGACTAAAAGAACTTTATTTTTAGAGTGTTTTTTACAAAGATTCTTCTAGGAGCTGTTGTGATTAGCTGTTGTTCGCTTATGTACCATTAGCGGGCCTACAGACTGCGAGATGAGAGAGCAGCTTCGGACCTTGCACATCACGGGAAAAGCATGCTCTCATTGCAGAACGAGGTCCGGAGCTTAAGCCTCGGAGCACTTGGTGTTCTTCCGTGTGCTGCATAATGATCTTCAGAGAACCGTCAGTACGGGCTTTTTAGCTTCGTTCATCATGGCGGGTGTAGCACATTAGCACCAAAAATTAGACCATAATGCAACAATGGCTTATCGAAAACACCCATAAATATCTCATAAAAGCTTAGAATTTCCTTAAGGATATAACAGCACTTCTGAAGAGCTTTCATCTTTTACTCTAGAAAGAATGATAAAATATTTAAAACATAACATGGTTTTGCATATTATAAACTATGGTTCTTTATGCTAGGTGGCTTTAAATTTACTTAGGCAGACACTTTTTATATGCATACCTCCCAGATGGAGCCTTTTATCATTTATAATGTTGTTGCCATTTTAGAAATGAGATGGTTTATGAGTACTGTTCATCAGTGAAACAAAGGACTTTAGCATTACTTGGCACCTGCTTAAACAGTGTAAAATCCGGAATGACCTTCCTAGACATGCTCTTTACCTCCATTGTCTTGCCTTGCCTTGTTCGACTGCCGGTTTGCTCTTAATTGAGGAGACTCACTTCCCCCTCTCTCTCCACCCAAGATGGAGGTAAGGAAGTCTTATCCATGCACCAGATTCTTCTGTACCTGCTACGGTGTAGCAAAGCCCTGGTGCCGGAGGAGGAGATTGCCAATATGCTTCAGTGGGAGGAGCTCGAGTGGCAGAAATACGCGGAAGAATGCAAAGGCATGATCGTCACCAACCCCGGAACGGTACGGGCTGCTTCTGCGCATGCGGGACTGAACCGCTTGCTTTTCCGCATTCGGATGTTTTGAAAAAACAGGAACAGTGCATTTAAAAGTTACAAATACTTAGCTGCTTTTTGTCCCTAGAATATATTTTCCTTTCGTCATTAGTAAAGCAGATAGTGATAGTGCTGGTGTAACCCCACTAGTCAAGGAGGCTGCGACAGGGGGATCTAAGTTTGAACCTGACCTGGGCAATGTAGTAACATCCTGACACAAGAGAAAAAATAAGGAAAAAGGGCTAAGGACCTAGTTCAGTGCGAGGGCCAGTATTACAGAAAACGAGGTAAACTGCCGCAATTAGGAATATTTAATAGTTAGCTCACCTGACTGGTAAATTTATTCTTCCTACAGATGCCCGTTTTTGAAACTTCTGCTGCGTGCTGCAAATTGCCTTCCAGAAGGGTTGTAAAATTTAGATTCTGATCAGAATATTCATTTCTTTATACTGATTATATGGGTTTAACGGGGGAAAAACAGCTTTGCCATTTTGATAGGAAAAAGTTTATTATTTAGCTCAGTTTTTTGTTTCTTTAGGTTTCTAGTAAAAACTGGTAATTTAAACATGATTGCCTATTCATATTATCTTTTGATAACTTCCTTTTACTCTCCTTTGTTTGATCTTTTGTGTGTGTGCCATTTGTTCTTTTAACATGCATTCTTTGCTGCCAGGCGTGGTGGCGCACACCTGTTATACCGGCACCGGCACCGGGGCAGTTGAGGCAGGAGGATTAGTGTGAGTCAGTGGTCACCCTGGGCTATGCAGCAAGTTAAAGGCCAGAATAGATTATGTAGCAAGACCTTGTCTCAAGAAAAAAGGAGAAAAGAAGAGCAAACACAAAATTTATCCTTTGCCATAATATTACAAATACTTAATATTTTTATTTGCCTCTTAATTATTATTATTTTTTAAAGTACATTCTAGCCAGGCCCAGTGGTGTGTACCTGTAATCCCAGATTGGGGGAGTGAGGCGTGTGAATTTGCAAGCTTGAGTGTAAGTTGGGCAGCTTAGTGTCTTTGAGAAAAAAAAAAAGACTGCTTGCCTGGCATCCACGAAGCCGTCAGTGGAGTCCCCAGTACCCTGAAAAAGCGAAACAAAACAAACCCCCTAATCCTCTCATGTAAAACACAGAACTTTCTTTATATTACATTAGGAAAGTTTTTCTTTATGTTATTGTTTCATAAAATAATTATACATTGGCATCTTACTAAGATAAATTTTGTAGAAATGAAGAATTAAATATATGTAAAGAAGCAGAATAAGCTATTTAAACAAAGCTGTTCCTTTTTGTTTTGTAATGCTGTTAATTGTTTAATAGTCTTGATTCATAAAACATAAACTGTGGATCTGCTTTTGATAGCATGACAATAACATCTGCACAAACAAAATGTTGCTATTTGCAAATAAGACATTCTGGCTAATACTGATTTTAAACAAATCCAGAGAGTGAAATTATTTAATAAAAATATGTTTAAACACGAGACTTGCTTCAGACTAAGAAAAAAGAATTATACAATTTTTACTGTTGTATTAGTAAGTCACATAAATGATTATTAAAATAACTTTAGAAGAAATTCATAGCAGTTCTATGCAAGTAAGACTGCAAATTTTATTGTGCTTTAAACGGTTACATGTTGGGACCAGGGAGATGGCTCAGTAAAATAAGCACTTGCCTGGCAAGCACAAGGGCCTGAGTTCAAACCATGGTTCCATCAAAAAAATAAATAAATAAATAAACGCTTACAAGTATTTTTATTTTGTCACTTTAGACGTGGGTCGTAGGGTGGTGAGACGATGGGAGACATGTGTTTCCAGCTTAGTTGTTCTGCAGTGAACGCTTGGGGAGCACCTTTCCTCTGGGAGTCCTTCCTTAGCACTGTTAGGATCTCCTGAAATCTAGGCTCAGCTAGCGAGCTTTGCAAAACAAAGGAGCCAGGCCTGGTGGTGCGTGCCTATGATCCTGGCACTCTGGGAGGATAACGATTTTGAGCCCAGCCTGGGGAAATTAGCCATTTGGTGAGACCTGTCTCAAAATAAAAAGTATGTTTTACTTTGAGCTGGGGATGTAGCTCAGTGCAAAGGCCCTGGGTTCAATCCCCAGGACCACCACCAGTAGCAAAAGATGGTCCCGATTGACCCTGCTCATACACGCAGGCCGTGAGGCCTAGGAGTTTGCAGTTTAAAGAAATCCCCAAGTACATCTGCTCGCCTGTGGTCTGAGCAAGTGGCACAGACGACACTTCCCTGTCTCCGTCATCGTCCAGCCACTAGTTGCTGGGGCCATGGTACGCGTCAGTCTGGTGAGGCTGAGGTGTGATACAGGGCACGTGTATCAGGGGATCTTGGATGAATGCTGGCCCGTGGGCCAGTCTGTGGAGCTGTAGTCCCGCGAGAGACCACTGGGCCCGGCCTGCCAGACACGCTTCATAAACGCTGCACTGAGCTCTCAGAAAACTGTATTGATCATTGGCACAATTAATGTATAACCTTGAAGTGACCAAAAGCCATTTGAAGATAATGAGGAGAAAGACTAGTCAGGATGAAAGGTTTATAATGGAAAATAATCAGAAATGAATTAGGTAAAGTATGTTGGGGTGTCAGATTTAGTAATGTGTAGAAGTTCTTTCTTTTATAGTATTTATTTAAAGGTAGACTCATGGAAACATTATTTCATTACATCCCCTTGAAAAGTGTCTGTGCGACTAGGATGGCAAGGTAGAACGGACGCTCTTAGGTCATCCTCTGCATTACTTGCTTTGAAAGATTGCCCAATAGCAAGAGTACTGGGGAATTTATTACATTTTCCAAACCATTATGGTCCCATTAAACACTTTACTGTTGCAGAACCTAAAGGAATTAATCTTTTCCCTCGCACTTTGCCTCTGCCAGGGAATACTTTGGTCATTAGCGAGACTTTTTTTATTCTCACACAGCGATGGATAGTATGATAGATGTCACAGGGTGAGGCCAGCGACTAGGATTCATTCCCCCAACCTCCTCTTAATGCGGAGATGCGATAGATCTCTTGTTACGTCGTCCAGGCTGGTCTTGAGCGCCTCCTGCCTAGTGTTCAGAGCAGCTGCAGGCTTGTGCTCCTGCTCCTGGCGGTGGTGCTGTAGGGTTTCTAGGTCACTTTGTGGGGTTGATACCACAGCATGGTGTTTAAAGTCGCAGAAACATTCTTTGTTTCACAGTTCCTCTTTTAAGAATGTACCCTACAACTTTGATGCACAAAATAATGAAAATAATTCTTAGATCCAGTATTTTACAGTGTTAGTATGCATTTAAATGATTTTCGATAAGATGAGAACAAAAGTATTTCCACCTAATTCTGAGAGCAGAGGCCAACTTCTCAAAATACTAGTGAAAGTTTGATTATTTAATTAAATGGCATTTGAATGCTTTTTATTTTTTATCTTTTTTTTTTTTTTTGTATTTTAGGGAAGGGTCTACAGGGTCTATAGGGTCTCACTACTAGATCGGACTGGAAGTGATCTGCCTGTTTACAGACTCCCAAAAACTGGGATTACAGACTTGCACCACCACGCCCAGTCTCAGCCCAGTCTCAATTGCTATCTCACTTCGACCCTGGGGGTGGGGCTGGCCCGGCAGGCCCGGGAATTGAACTCCAGCCCCTTGTGCCTGCTTGTAGGCGCTTTAATCCGCTAAGGTATTTGGCCTCCCCTTAAATGTTTTTTAAAAGCTGAGGTTTTACCAATATGTGTGAATTTGTCTGTACTTTTGATCATCTAATTATATTTGAAAATACCTGACCAGGGCTGCAGGTGTACATAGGGCGCTAGCTGTTCTGAATTGCAGGTGTTTTCTTGGCTTTAGCACTGAAATCCCATTTGCCACAGATGAAGCAGACAGGCAGCAGCCAAAGCGGTGGGGGTGGGCATTGTTGTGGGGCAGCGTGAAGCTTCCTGGCCTCTGCGCGTCAGTTCTGCCTACAGCCTTAGCCACTGATGCCGCTGAGCCCGAGGCCCCCAGTCTGCCGGTGTGAATGGAATCGCTACTGGGGACTGCCCTGAGGTGTTTTAAGGAAGAAGGTTGCCAAACCGTATTCTTAATGAGTTCACCATCTTTTCGTGAATTTAAACTTCCATAGTGAAAGATGTTTTACAAATAGCCTGGAAGGAACGAGCCACTTACTTCTCCCTGCTTGGACATAAAGAAAAAACAAAAACAAACAAACAACAACAACAACAAAAAACCAGGCTTTGCTAAAATACAGAAATTGCTTAGACATAATAAAAAAGCTTAGCTATTTGACTCTTTTTCTTTTACCACAATAGCTTCTAATTTACTGGAGAGGAATTAAAAGAAATGTACAGGGCACGCTGAGAAATAATGGGGGTGGGGTTAAGTGGAGTCATCTCTTTATGAACACGAAGGAGAGGTAAAGCTGTTCAGGTGGAATATGAAAGTAAAGTGGACTACGCCTGCGCATCTCACATCTCTTCCCGTGACGCAGAATCCTTCCCCTGGGCCTCGCAGAGGCTAAGGAAAAGTTGTGTCCGACTAGGTGTCCTTTTACGAGTTTAATTTTTAAAGGTTTCTGTATAAACTGCAAAAAAGGATAAAACCATTGACCACAAAGCCAAATGGCAGAGACTCACTTGCAGGGATGACATTATAGTTTTTATATAGTATGCTGCTATGATTAAAGGATTTTAAATGACATTTTTCCCTTTGGGGACAAGGCTTTCCTAGGGGAAAAAAAAACCAATTAATTCTTTCCCTACTTAGGATAAAGTCAATACTTGCAGACTTCTTATGGGAATAAATGGTGTTGATTTTTTTCCCCCTCTAGAAACCGAGTTCTGTCCGCATTGATCAACTGGATCGTGAGCAGTTCAACCCTGATGTGATTACTTTTCCAATTATTGTCCACTTTGGGATACGCCCTGCACAGTTGAGTTATGCAGGAGACCCACAGTAAGATATTTCTCAGTGTTTGTCTTAGCCGGTTTCACCTTCTACTAACAGCTGAATTAGCAGAGGATTACCTTTTAGTGGACGCTTCTCCTTTTCACAAATTAAGACCTGAAATGAGCTGTATTTTCATATTCAGGTTACCAAATGAAACCACTTTCGGTGGCTCCTGAAGAATGCTTTTCTCCACCTATTTGACTGCAAGAAATTATTATCCAATAGATTACTCTTGGCAATCTTGATAGACATAAGCCCTGTCTGTTTTTCAAGAGCTTTTCTTAATTCATCACTATAATGGTTGCTGTTATTTTTATTTTTTCAGTGTCCTCTAGAGGAAAGTAGCGCCATGTTGGCTCCGTGCACTGCTGAGAATGCAGAGGGCTCTCTTCGGGGCAGCGTGAGGGGCTTAAGCCCCGCGCAGCAGGCAGGGCCACAGCGGTGCACGGGCCATGATTTCCTAGTCTTAGAATTGGTAGTACTTTGCACATTTGGGATTTTTCATCTGGCATGTTAATGTTTTGCTGGAAGAAGATGAAAATGTATGGGAATGGAACGGAGATAGCATCATTGTGTTCTTCAGGAATGTTTGGAATTTCTACCTTGTTAAGCAAACAGTTTCCTGACTTACCATTTTTTTTAAAAAAAGATTCATAATGGGAGGAAAGGGCATGGGAGATTTTCAGTTCATAAGTACATTTCTGGCTGGTATGTAACTAGAAGAGGCTAAAGGGTTTTGTTCTTCTTTTTCCTCCTTTGGATAAAAGTATGAAGCAGTGAACCAGGCAGTGTGTAAGTACTTCTTTCTTTCCTCCATTCTTTAAAAAAATAATATTGAAAAAGGAGAGGCCCAGCTCAGGCCAAGAAAGGAGCAGCTTCACGGTGACAGAAAATCTTTTAACAAATCCCTTCTTGTCAGAAAAATGTTAGTAGAATGTGATGAGGCGCTCACCACTCTCAGGTGGCAGGATCAGGAGTTGACGGAGGACCACACGTGCTCTTCATCCCAGGATGCTTGACCAGTTCCTTCCCACTGATCCAAATGCCTGCGTAGTGGGCTGCGATACATACGCTCTTTTTTGCTGTGCAAATACAAGTTGCTGTACACCATTTGTCTTTCCCCTCTCCAGTGGAAATTGAATAACATTTGTATCTTGGGAGACAGCACAAAAGTGGTTCCCTATTCTGACATTCTTTAGCTGACTGTCCCTAGTAAAGAAGGGGTGTTCTTTCGACAAAAGAAATATGTTATACTTAAATGATAATCTTCCACTTGCTAACTGTGAAAAATGGTATATTTCCATTGGCTGGCAGAATTTTTAAATTTTTTTCCATTTTTTAAAATGTATTTGGTACAGGGTCTCACTACGCAGCTCAGACTCGTAGTGATCCTGCTGTTTTCAGCCTCCCCAGTGCTGGGATTACAGGTGTGATTACCACATTGGGACTTGGTTGCTGACTCAGCATACCCCTGGGTTGGCGCTGGTGTGGCATGAGGGCCTGGGGATCAAACCCTGTTTCCTGCACTTGCCAAAGCAGGTGCTTAGTCTGCTGAGCTATCTCGCTGGCCCTGGCTGGCATGATTTTGTGTCTTCTTTGGAATTATTTTCAGAAATTCATCCTCATAGTCACAGCTCATTTTCAGCCCAAAGAAGCTGCAGTCTACTTTACTACCAGTTTCCAGATGCCTTCCGGCCATCCTTCCCCTCAACCCACAAACATGTCCTCTCTTAAGAGTGAAGGGTCATGGCCCTTGCAGAGATTCAGAAGAATGTCATTTGTGATTGAGCAGGCCTATTAAAGTAACTGGTTTTGTTTCACTTTCGTTTTGCTTTCCCTTTGTGTGAGCTGTTTGTCCCTTTCCTTAGGTACCAGAAACTGTGGAAGAGCTATGTGAAACTCCGCCACCTCCTAGCAAACAGTCCCAAAGTTAAACAAACTGACAAGCAGAAGCTGGCACAGAGAGAGGTCAGTATTGAACCCTGGACTCTGCAGAGCTGTGGTGGTGCAACTCAGACCTACTCAGGATTGTTGCGTTATACTGTGCTTCTAGAATAAGTTGGAAAGGTATTTTTAAAATTATACTTTACTCTCTTTCCCACAGTAGAACACTGATTTTTATTTTATTTTCTTGTTGGCAGAACCAGGGATTGAACTCAGGTCCTTGCGCTTGTCAGGCAAGCACTTATTCTAATAAGCTATCTCCCTGCCCCTTGATTTTTTTTTTTTTTTTTAATGTTTTAATATTCAAAGGAGCATCTGCCTGGTGTGGTAGCTCATGCTTGTAATCCCGGTACTTGGGAGGCAGAGGCAGGAGGATCCTTGCAAGTTCAAGACCACCTGGACCACAAAGTGTGCTCAAGGCCAGCCTGAGCTGCATAGTGAGACCCTGTTTCAAAAAAAGAAAAAAGAACGTGTGTACCCACCAAAAGGCCATTTTCTTAATGGATTACAACTTTTGGAAATCAAATATATGATTCTGGTTTTTTAGTACTGGGGATAGATGGAACCTGGGGCCTTGTATATGCTAGGCAAGTGCTCTACCGCTGAGCTACACCCCCAGCCCATCAAATGTATCTTTTATAGAAGCTGGAAAAGCTCAAAGTTTGGTTTTTATATTTAATTAGACTTTATGTTCTACAACATGGGGCCTTGGTGAGATTTCTTGGTCTTAAGATTGTGAAACGCCACTTTCCCTGTAAGACTTCATGGAAGTCTTCACTTCAGCAGAGTGAACTGATTGTAAGGTTTTAATATTCCGCATTCCATATTTCTATCTGTGTGAGTATTGGTACCCTTGCACTCTAGGACTTATATTGTAGTTTACATTTAAGAATAAGTTGGGAAAAAAAAAGAGAGTAAGTTGGTTCAGTCTGAACACAGACTGTCTCAGTGAGGTTTACTCTGCTGTGGTAGGACAAGAAAGAGGAAGGGATAGAGGCTGGGTGGTGGGTTTGAATTCTGGCTTCGTCACTTGCTGTGATTTGAGCCCGTTGGCCTCCTTATCCAGGGGAGCGAAGGCTCAGAGGCTGCCTGAATGTCCCTCTGCTGCTTCACCCAAGCAACACATGGTTGTATGACTTACGTGCTCCGTGTAAGGTCCTGCGTGGGGAATCTGGCCGGTAGCAGGAGCTCGATCGGTGGTGGAGCTTGTGCTGATTCCTGTTGCTCTCTGAATTCCTCTGAGGTTTTTATTCCATTCCATACATACAAATATAAATTTGCCTTTCATAATTAATTACTTACAGGACACTGAAAGGGAAGAAATAGTTCCTGATTGTCTCAGGAGTGAAGTTTTGCCCTATTGCTCCCCCCCTTTAAAAATAAAATGTACACTTACTACAAGGGTGTGAGGAGTTTACAAATTACAAGTTAGTATTATGTGGGTTGCAGGTTAGTTGTCTTTCTTGGATGGAAATGCATAACATAAGGCTTGATATAAATATAATTTTTATACGTTGTTTTCAAATCCCAAACGTCACATTTTTTTTTTTTTTTAATCAGTGATAGGGCATATTTTGTATGAACATGCCAGATTGGCAGATTTAGTTTAAAATTGTCCTTGTCGGGTTACCAGGGAGAGTTGCCTTAATCCCAGAGCTTCACACATCATGGCCTTCATTCCAAAGAAAATATTTTAGTTTTGCATGAAGAGTGCCCGGATGTAAGGGTAATATCAGATGAGCCCGGCTGACTTCCTGATGCTTAATGGCTGCCTGTCCCACTGCTGAGCTGCCTTTTGTGAGTTCTTTTCTAGGAGGCACTCCAAAAGATCCGACAGAAGAATACAATGAGGCGGGAAGTGACCGTGGAGCTCAGTAGCCAAGGATTCTGGAAAACTGGCATTCGTTCTGATGTCTGTCAGGTGATGACACTTCCGAGAACACAGCTATCCCCATGTAGTTCTTGCTTTGAAAGTCATTGGCACTGACATTCTTTTTTAATTGAGAAATTTCTGTGGAACATACTACTGTGAGGCTTAATGGAACATTACTGTTGATTGTTTTCTGTTTGAATTTTTGTTGGTGTTGTGTGTTTTGGTGTTGTGTGTGTGTGTGTATTTTGGGGGAATGGGTAGAGGGGGAGAAACATATATAGCAATGTTAAATTCAGTCTCTTTCGTTTGGGTAAAGATGAGTCTACCTTCATATGTGTCTTGAGCAGAAGAAATGATCTCAGCCATAGAAGTGGACCCATGGTTGTACAGAATTTACGGACCAGTGCCCCAAATTTTTGTTGCAGAGAACTGAAGGCATTAAT